ATGGTGTACTACTGTAATCAGAGCTCTTCTGGTCTTGCTGCGTGACAAAGACTTGGGATTCTTTAAGACCTCCTTGGTTAGTCTCTTCCTATATTGTTTTCACAATGAGGCATGTTCCATTACAAAGATGGGGGTTGAGGGGCTACTCTGTTATTGATTTAAATTACACTTTTTTCATTATAACATTAATATTATTATTACTAGTTAGTGATTCATGTTATATTGACCCAATAATAATGATCATGCTCTAACATTCTCTAGTTCTTCCGGATGATTCTTTTTTAGCTTGATGATTCCGAAGGACAGATTGAGGATGCAAGGATGAAATGAGGAATTTGCAGTTCTTAACGTATTTAAACAGAGTTGGTAATTAAAACTGCAAATCTCTCCAAAAATCTTTTTGTTTTGATCTTAAACCTTTGTTTTTTATGTTACTTTGAAACATGTTTTAATGGTTTTAAGAAATGTGTATTTTTATAGGAGATATGTTTACTGCAATTGTCTCATGTTGGTTTTAATAAAAATAAAGTTGGCTGTTGGACATTCCTTGTTCTAAAATAAATTTCCAAAATTGTATTACGTGTTATGTGTTTGTTTTTAAGTGTGGATACATTTTGATATATTTACAGAATTTATACATTCAGATTTAACTTAAACAAAAAAGTAATTGCTATGAAAATGTATGAGTTGGGTTACTCAGTACTTCAAATTAAGAGTAATTAACATGCATGAGTACAACAAACATAAAACCTAGTAGTTCTGTTTACTTAAAATAGGAGACATCATAACTTAAAAAAATTGATGTAACTGATTACCTCAATTGTGTTTTTTTTTTTTACTTTTTCAGGTTTACAGTGTAAAGCAAAAGCAGTTGAAAACCATTGATCTAGGCTTCATAACACCTGCATATGGAAGAAACACATTCAACTCCCACACTTGTGACTTAATGGAAAATAAGTAAAATCCCACTTATGAGAGCTACAGAAATCCCCCAAGCGCAGGATCAAACCGAAACACCCCTTCACATTCATCACACTCCACATTATTAGTCTCTCTGTTGAACCTAACAACCATCTGACACTCACATCCCAGGTATAGAGTGCAACAGTCAGTTTCCGAAAGTGAAAAATCCCATTAATTTTCTTCATAAGGTAATTGATTTTTAACAGCAACTTCTAAACCATTAAAGGCAGACCTACTGTAAGCTATGAGGTTGGTATTCAATGGGATATGATTTGTTATAGCCATTAGCCTGTATTTTCACATCTTATTTCATAAATAATCATGGTTAACAAAAGGAATCTTGGTGAGAAAGTAAATTACCCATGATTCTGAAAAAAAAGAAAACTCCAATCAGAATCAAAACAACCACTGAAAAAGTGAGTGGACACTGTTATACTCAATATAACAAGTGTCTCGTAAGATATTAAACTACCTACATTGACGTGTGGAGACGCACATGACGCCTAAAAAAGTTTTTAGGCACAGCAGTTGTCCCCGTAGATTACAAGCAATTTACAATCGCCTGTAGCCTGATCAGGTTCGCCATTACATGGCCCAAGCGCCACAGACACCCGGAAACAAGCGCTCCTGAGCTTGGGCGACTGTAAGCACACCTCCCGGAAGTGGGCCTAGATACCGTAACTGGTTGCCCATGATCAAAGCATGCGTTTGCATCACGATAACACAAACAGGTAACAAAAGACGAGCGCCTTTGCCCACTAGCAAACCACAGGAAGGAAGGAGGGTGGGGGGGGGAGAGAATACAGTCACTAACGGTGTATATGAACCCGTTGACATCAGACGGTCGTCAAACACACGCGTTTACATGAATTGTCACCCAATAATTCATGACATGGGAATGGGTGAGGGGCGGAACTGTCTGGGAAGGCTTAGATGAAACGTTTTAATGTCTGTTACACGGTCTATACTGTGAAATAATGCTGGATTCCAAAGGAAACCGACACAAACGGGTATGTGAAACGCACGGACCGGTTCCTGTGAGTCCGCGGGCCGGCTCTGCGCTATTCTACAAGTACTCATCCCGTTAACAAAAGGCCCGGGCCGTCTGGACAGGAAGAGCACTACAGCAGGAGGAAGACCCGGGGAGAGGAGGGGGGGAACAGCCTTACAACAAAGCCCTCAAACTCACTCGCTACGCCTCATAACGCCAAAATATAAACGCCTAATAAGCTAAAACGGTTCCGGATTAAAAGTCGGTTTCAGAACAGAGGGTTACTCACAGGTGGAAGATGCGGATGGTGACGGATTTCAGCCCCGGTTCGCAGCAGCTCCCTAGCTCTCACACCGACAACATGGCGGCTCGATCCAAGCAGACGCGCGCGGGGCATCATGGGTAGAATGTGAAGGAGCGCGTGCGGTTCATTGCGCCAAGAGGGGAGTGTCGTCTTTTGTTGTGCTCGAGACTCATACAGCAATGTGCAGGTTTACAGGCGCTCACAGTGTGACATACATCCCAACACAGTGAGCCAATGCCAGCTTTTGAAAGTACAGTACTGGATTTGTGTTTTATTTTGATATCTGTTATGTTGGGCACGACCATTTATCTCAGTTTCACATGTGAGCACATGTTTCTGCTCCAACAATCTGGTCTGATTTTTTTCTTCTACCTGGCTATTGTGTCCATTTTTATAAATTAAGATACAATAGATTACAAGCTATGTTATTAATAGTCTTGTTATCAACGCCAAATAATATAGTAATGCAAACAAATTGTTTTGTTTAATATCAAATATTCAGAAGTCTACAATTTTCTTATATAATTTATTTTAATGTAAATTAAACATGATTCAGAATGCGACCACTGACATCTTTTATGTAGGTCTATTATAATCTCACTGTCTTTGAAATACAGTGTTAATAATAGATACCAAATGTTGTATTTGTATGAGTATTCTGCTTTATTTTACATGCTTTTATGAGTTGCACTGTTAGAAACTCAAAAGTCAATTTCACAAATGTCACAAATTTTACAAGTGGGATTAATAAATACTTTTTTTCCTCTACAAAGTTGCAAAAACCATAGGGCAGAAAAGATGCATGCTCACCATTATACATTGAACTGAAATGTGAATGAAATGGCCCCCTATTCAAAATGTGACCACTGCCATGTTTACATGTATCATAACCTTAATATCTTAGTAAAACAATGTTAATAATACAGTAATTATAGACCCTTTAAACATTAAATGTACCAAATATTGTAGTTATATGTATAATACATCTGAGGGATTTATGCTTTTATTATAATCTAGAGTGGCAGATGGTAAGGTGAATAGGGTAAAAATGTAAAAAAAAAAATAGATATCACCATACTTCCCCAGTTGATTATTAATAGTACATTAATTGTTTTTTATTACAAGTTTTCTGAAATGTTATGTTTAAAAATGCATTTACTTACATTTCCAGAACAGAAATCTGAACATTGGCTAAAGCCAGTTTCAAAATTCTTGTTTGATTTTGTTGACATATTGCAGTTTTTAAAGAGATTTTGGAAATCTCTTTTTAACTCCATAAATCTGAAAATATTGTCATGTACTGACATAGAATATGTACTAAATTGACATCTACAGATGCAAATAGACCAAGTGTATTAAAATAAACACTTAAATGTGTATTTTGGATGTTTTTATTCCACTAGTCTGACGCAAGGCATGTTTTTATGAAAGCAAAATAGTCCAAAATTGACTAATGCATGAAAAAAAAAAAACATTTGCTTGTAGTGTCTTGCTTTAAAAGTCAATTTGGTCACACATTTTACCAGTGGGATTAATGAATGTTTCTTTTCTCTCTATAACAGCTGCAAAAACCATGAGGTAGTACAAAAAAAACATCTAGTTCATTATAAACTGCACTCATTCTAAAATAACAGGCTGTTTGAAATGTGAGCAGCAACTTAACTGCCTTTGTGTAAAGAGCAGGAGGACATTAGCTGCAAGCGAGCTATTGCAAATGACGTTCAATGAGATAAAACTGGTCTGTCCATTGTCTTCCTATCTGATTCACAGCTCTCCCTAAGGAGCACCAGTTTTATACACAACCCTGTGAAAACAAGGCTTTTTATCCTCATCCATATGTATTTGAGAGAATAAAAATGGTGTTTTATTTCACACAAGTCCTCTGTGGTGCACTTATAAGTGACCAAGACAAAGCATAATCTAGAAAGAGTTTATTATGCTGAACAACTGTCCCACCCTTCAGGTGTGTCCCTCTCACACCCACACACTCTCTCTCTCTCTCTCACACTCACACAAACAGCCTTCCTGGAACAAGTATTGTACATTAACATACATTAATTCTAAGTTTGTGTTCAAATAAACATTTATGGCTAGTCACATTATGCGTTAGGTGCATAAGTACATATCAAAACTTGTTGTCCGTGTACATCGACACAATCAGAAACACACATTCATGCACGCAGACACATGAGGGCCACCCAGAGGCACAACTCCTCTATCATGAATTTTTACATGCACAAAGTCCTACAGCATTCCCCAAATACACATCTACCCAACCTACAGCATTCATCTAACACATTACATTATATTGTCTTATATCAGAGTATAAACAATCTTTCTCTTACACACACACACACCAGAAAGAGCTGAACGGGTAGCTCCGGGATGTGTTCAAAGATTACCTGGGTCAAAGGTTGGCCACCTTATGAATACACAAACATATACAAAGGCCTATGTGCTCAAACACACACACACAGAAGATCTGATACTGTCTTCAAGTCTTATTTAATAATGCTTGTCTCAATGAGGCTTTAAGCATCTTGTTGTGGTCCTGTCCATATGCTCTCTCTCTCTCCAGAACTCTGGCTGGTGCTGCACTATAGATTTTCTCCAATAGAGGGAGACAGTTCAAGAAACACAGACGTTGAAGCTGGTAGAACATTTCCCACAATGCAGAGGACTTCATCTCTCAGAGATAAGCAGTTGTTTTCCTCTAGGCCCCCCCTCTGGGGGGGGGGGGGGCTCTGGTTTCTATCCAGCCCTGTATATATATAATAGAACGTTCAAAAATTACAAACAGACACATAGTGAGGTTTCTAAAGAAATAGGCTGTGTTTGAAGTACTACCATACTAATAGTTTTTTATGGTACATAGTTTCAACAGCAGAATGACCATATATGGCAAAATGAGCAGCATACAATCGAGCACACTACAATAAATTCCAAATCTCAAGTACTATCAGCAGCCTTTTAACATTTTTCTTGACTTATAAATTATTGCCCAGCTAATTGTGAAGGCATTTTTACACAAAATAAATAATAACAGATAATAAGTCAATAAATGATAAAAAGTAAACTAATAAATCAATACATTGAAAAATAAATTAATTAACAAATAATAATACATTTCCTGGACATCACTTGCTGAATTAAACAAGAAATGTTTTATAACACCACGTCACACTATTCTTTTATTCTTTTTTTAATGTTCATTATTCCATAAGGCATCTTTCCATTATGTCATCACTTTTTGGATAATGTACTGGCTGACTCTATGGACAGGATATCTGGGCACCCCCTCCCCTCCTTTATTTTTTACATTTGTATTTGTGTTATGTATTATTTTTATTGTTTTATTGAATGTAATTAGTTGGGGTTTGGTAATTAAGGTTATGATATGATATTGCAGATTTTTTTCTTGTGGCAAGTTTGTCATTTGTGCACTTGTTATTCCATGTAAACAATAAATAATAAAATAAATTTAAAAAATATACAGTAAATACATAATATAAACAAAAGACAACATTTATTTTTAAAAAGAAAGTAAAAGAAAGTTAACTAGTTTTCCTGGTGTGAACAGTGTCTTTACACACTATATTTAAAAACATTTCTTGAGACTATGAATTTTTAAAAAGAGTACAATTTTTAAGTAAAGAATGGTTCTGATATTTGAGAATGCGTAATTTAATGTAGCTATGTGTACTTACGTATAGAGAGGCTGCAGCTGTAAGTGAGAACTCTTTTGTGGAGGCTGGTAACTATACGAGTCCAATCCACCAATGAAATCAACTGCAACAGAGTGAGGGGACTCAAAACTCAAGCACTTTAATGGCACTGTAATTCACTTTCAGGTTCTAAAAAAAGCCAAGAATACTTACAGCTGTCCTCATCATCCAGGAAGACTTTACTAACATAGCAGGCATAAACAAATCCAAAGAGCTGAAACACAGAACAAAATATGTTAACAGCCAATCAGTCATCCTACTTCTCTGCCAAACATTCATGTGCACATACTTTTGTAAATGAAAAGAAAAGAGATCAAACGTAAGTACTCACTGCAAGAAACACTTGCAAGGCTGAGCTGACCACCTCTATGTATTGGTAGTCCAGTAGGCAGCCACTGACAGTGATCACATGATGATCCTGAGGAGCCAATGGTGAGTCAGGCACTGGAGTAACTAAGCAACCAGGCCCATTCTCCATCCACCAGGAACGATGAAGTGATGTGTTAAATGTCATTAGGCAATCCCTGTCCTACAGCAGAACACAAACAGGATTTAAAAGGCAAAAATACCCTAATCATGAACTCAACATCGACGCTGTGTACTTTCTTAATCCAAATTCTTAGTTTTTCCAAAGAAAAAATGTTTTTGTTCCTTGTAATCTTTAAATATTTTAATTTAAAGATTACAAAGAAGCCCTATTATCATTATGGATAATGCTAACTGATAAACTCCACTATTTTGCGGGATGCCTGCTTTTCAGGATCAATACAATTCCCAATTAACAAAATCAAATAAAATGCCCTTTCTTTCATTAATACAGTAATAAAATGGTTTATGAATGCCGTTTCATGTTGACTCTTAAGATTAAAGTATAACAAGGCATAAAATCAAACATTTAATCAGACACTTTGGTGTATTTACACAATGACTTGACTTATAGACTGGAGTCTGGACCAATGCAGTAAATCACCTACCTGTGACAGGTGACCAACTTCCAGGTAAAAGCAGATGATAAAAGAGTTCCAGCCAACCCAGACCACAAGCCACACAGCATACTGAAAGTGACAGACATGCATACTGTATGTGTGCACATATAAAAAATATATTAACGAATGCATATGAGACATGTAAAGACAATGCAAATAGCAAACCATTTTCAGCTGTAGATGCAAAATGTGGGCAAAAACAAATGTGTTCTTTTTTTCCTACCAGTATAAGATATCTGGAGCGGATTTGCACAGTTCCAAACACTCCCAAAATGATGGCCATGATATGGAGGAAATTGGCAAGGATGGGAGCCCACTGAAATCCCAAAAAGTCAAACACCTGCCTCTGTAATGCAGCGACCTGTGAATAAACCAAGAACACTTTACATACACAACCATCCAACATTACAAAAATGTACGCATGCATAAGTGTGCACAAAAAGCTTGTGCCAATACAAATAACATCATATATAGTCGTCGAACCTTGTCCCATGTCTTTGCAGACTTCAAAATGAGCTATACTGGGTTTATTTAGGCAAACATCAGACAGGCAAAACAAGCTTGTGCAGCAGACTCCCAAGTTATATTGGCAGGAAAATGTACACAAAGTCTGGTATTGCTGGCTACTATTCCTGGCAGGAATTAACACGTGCAGCATCCATCCAAACAGCCCAGTAAGCGACTGCACATTAACCACATGCAGGAGAGATGGAAAATTCTTCAGAGAAGGATCATCAGCCACAAGGACTCTGTGCCAGAAAGCTCAGATGCTTTCCGTACACTCGAACGTCCGTCAAAGTACTGCACATCCTCTGCCGCTCGCATGTGGGTTTATTAAATATTTTGGCTAATTTGATGATGGAGTCCACAGACTCTGCTTGGCCGTTGTGGTGGGTTAGTTTAGCCAAACCTCCAAGCCTCTTATGCTCGTCAAAGTTGCATTTATTTGATAAAAAAAAACAGTAAAAAAACAGTAATATTGTACAATATTATTACAATTTAAAATATCATTTGAATATTCATTTTAAAATATAATTTATTCCTGTGATGGCGAAGCTGAATATTTCCACAAAAATAGTAAGCAGAATATTATTATATGCACAATATTAATATCTTTCAAAAACAGTCAAAAAAAAAAAAAGAAGTAATATTTCAAACTTTTGACGAGAAGTACACTTTAATTAGTTAAGTTCTAACTTGTTTTGACTAATTCTGTATGGAAATCAGGTTTTTATAAAGATCATTGGGTGTGAAAAGCCTAAAAACAATAATAATAAAAAAAAAAGATTAAAACTGTGAGGCCCTACCTGTTATCACTGAATCAGCAGTACAGGCTGCAGTGGACCATTAAACTCACTTAAGCCAATGGCAAATAAATAAAAATATTGTCTCCACACACATAGGAGCAATCCCAAAGCTTGGGTGCCGCAGCTGTTTCCATGGAAACTGCCTGGAGCCCCAGCCCACAGCCCTATGAGAAAAGAGCCCCTTCATCAGGAGGCCCCTCATCCTCACATGTCTCTCACAAATCATGCATATGCATACATATCTGGGGCATGAAGTTTCTCCAAGAAAAGTTTTGACAGGCTTCTCAACTGGCCCCCTAAGAAAGGAACCAGGACACATTCTCCCTTGGCTTCACCCCTCCCAAATCAGAACCCCTGCGTCCTCTCACACAATCCCTCTATAAGTTTTTTTCCCCCCAGGAAAGACTAGATTTTAACTGAACATGAACAAGACTGTCTTACCAGCTGCAGGCAGCAGATGACCACCAGCGTGCACCTCCCGTCGCAGCGACCCATGCTCTCGCGCTTGAGGCACGGCTTGGGCCCCGCGAGGCGTCGGGAGAAAGCGGCGTCCCCGGTGAGGTCCAGCGTTTTGCTTCACGGTTACTGTTCAACACATCAAGAAGCCCACCGGGCCGCGTGCATGCTTCGGTGCGTCGATGCTTTGGGATGGCTGCTGGTCATCCCGGATCTCCTCCGCTGAACTGTCCTAACCGAAGCGTCCTGCAGCCCCGTTGCGGTTCCGAATCCTAGCGAATCTGCCACACCTTCATTCCGTACCGGGTACCAAGCGCAGACAAACCCAAAATAACACAAAGAACAGAGGAAGAGTCAGAGAGCGCGTTTAACTGGCAGAAATGAGCATCATATGATAAGCATCAGACGGAGAGCGAGCGGGGGTGTAAGGGCGCGATTTAAGAAAATATCGCAAATTAAATCTGGAACGAGCACAAAGCCAACCTTTGTGACTTACAGTGAGGTCCGGTATTCGTTTTTCCGAGCTGATGTGCCGTCAGGGGTCTCAGACTGACGCTGTAGCTTGAGCAACCATCCTCCTACTCCGGCTCTTTGTCAACATCGGCACCGGGGAGGGCGAGCGGAGCGGGGTTTGTGGGTGGACGCTCACCGCCCGCTCGACACAACACGAGGCGTTTTACAGAGCACAAAGAAAATCATGCGGCTATGGACACTCTTTTTACAACCTGCAAAAATGACTCTTTTGAAACTAATATTACGTCATGATGACAAGATAAATACCTACAAACATACATTCGTAATCAGACTAGTTACTTTTTTATTGATTACATGATTATATATTATTCACATGGTGACATGGCATGCAGGTAAACAGGTATAATTTTTATTAAGTTTATTTTGATTGTTGTGATTTTAAAAATATTTATTTTAATTTAACATTTTCATGATTTCATTACATATTAGCTTTTTATTACTTCACGAACCCCCTGAAGTCCCTTTATGAACCCCAAATTTTGATGGAATATAATGTTTAATGCACTTGATGTTTAACAATGACTATAATATATTTTCTTTCTCTTTATATTTTATATCAAAATGGTACAAGATTTTTTTATCTTATTTAAACCCGTATTTAAATCAATGTGATGAACAGTTCAAACGCTATCTAAAAGTATATACTGTATGTGGAGCCCAATCCACATTGAAAAGCTGAGTTTCAAATTCTAAAAAGTCTTGTGGATTTTTATTTGAACCATTAAAATGAAATAAAAAGATAAGTGTCAAAATGAAGAAGAAATATTTTAGGCCACTAAGCTAGTTTATTACACTGATCATGAGAACTCCTTTGTATATAAAAAAATGTTTCTGTTTGTCTTGTTATATTGCATATACTAATTATATATTATATAACTGTATATAAGTGTTACATGCATATATATATATTTTTTTTTTATTATTATTATTTTTTATATCATTCTGGATAACATGGATCATTATTTTTCATTTATCAACTGGATATATACCATACTTTTATACCATACTGACAGTGCACAATATTCTAGAAACAGGTTTATTAAAAATAACAAAAACAAAAAGCCATTATTCAACATTTTCCCCCCAACTTGTCATCGCTGTTTTCAAATCAAACACTATTGGCAAAAGTCCAAATCATATCCCCCTCTACCCATCCTCTTCTCACTCTCACATTCAGACACAGTCACATAAACAGCATTCGCACACACAAACACTCACACAAAAACAGTTATTGAATCTCTCCGATGTAAAGACGTTTATCACTGGATCCAGAAAGAACTGTGGGAGACATAAAATAATGGAGTCACACATGGAGCAGAAATGGGTAAACAGTATGGGAGGAATGTGCTCCTTTTTCAATTCCAGATATGTATAATATTTGAATTAAAAAAAAATAAAAAATAAAAAATAAATATATATATATATATATATATATACAGTGG